AGCCGGTGAGAAGTCAAGTTCAAGGCAAAAAGTGATTCTGAATACGGGGTAATTATAGTGCACAATCCATTTTCTCTTTACTTTGACGGTGTTTAGCTTCTTGCGAATGCCGCCACGTAAATTCGACACTTTGCTCGAGCTGCTGCACCACGCCATCTCCAAGCCAAGTACTGCGTGGTGACCATGGTGCCACAGACCCAGAGGAACGCACTCGTTTGTATCTGGCGGCAGGAGGCACGCAATAATAATAAAAAAAAACTCGGCATCGCTGATTGGTTCCAGCAGCTTTGCGACTGCAGTCGTGGGACTGAAAAATCTGTCAGGAAGCGACTTGCCAAAGCAGTCACTTTGCGACCGTTTGCGACCGTTTCCGACCGTTCATGACTGTTTGCGACCAGTCGCAAATGGTCGCGCCACCACTGGTAGTCACCAGTGTGCACCAACCTTTATACAATATAATTTTGTTCGTTGTATTGGCGCGTACGAAACGGGTATGCTGTATGATCGTTAGACTACATTGACCTGTCGTCAAGAAGGCAATAAAGGAAGAAAAAATAAACGATCATGGCATAGTGGATATAGCGTGTCCGGCATCAGTTGTCACGGACCCAGAGTTCATAGGTTCAACTCCCATTAACAGACCTTTTTTCTTTGTCTTTTCATCTTGCGTGTTTTTCGGTGTCATTCCCGTGACGGAAACACGTCCCTAAACTCTTGGTGCATCCCTGCACAAAACGCTTTCGTGTTAAATGGTTCATATGCAGGTTTGAAAATTTCGAGCTGACGAGCGCGATGCACGCATGGGGCGTTCGTGATCACGACTGTCAAAATTTGCAACGCTATGCGCTTTGGAAAGGGGTTGAATTTTCATATGAACGCTGCTTGCGCTTCCTTTCGCTGGCGCGCGCCAAGATAACAAAGGCCTGATGCAGGCGTAGGAATTGCCCTACGTAGACGGTAGGGTTGTGACGTTGGACATCTACGTAGACAACTGTGCTCTGACGTCGCTAATAGTAGCACGTGACAGGACGAAAACTATTTCACACTACTTGTGTAGTTTGTGTGATTTGTTGCTTCAATAGGTGAATCAAATTTGAAGTAAATATTGATTGATTTGTGGGGTTTAACGTCCCAAAACCACCATATGATTATAAGAGACGCCGTAGTGGTAGGCTCCGGAAATTTCGACCACCTGGGGTTCTTTAACGTGCACCCAAATCTGAGCACACGGGCCTACAACATTTCCGCCTCCATCGGAAATGCAGCCGCCGCAGCCGGGATTCGATGCCGCGACCTGCGGGTCAGCAGCCGAGTACCTTAGCCACTAGACCACCGTGACGGGGCCCCTTTGGTGTATTTGCTTTTGTCTTTAGTACTAGATGTTCTTGCTGCCAATGCTTTTTTGTGTGTGTCTAAGTGGCTACTTGCCACTGTATCTGTACAAAATACCTGATTTTATTATAGCTATTCGTGATTATTACCCATCCCCCCACTGTAATGTTGAAATGCGCTGTGGGCATTGTATAAATAATACCATTGCACTCGTTGCTTTTCTCTTTTTGTTAAAAAATCTATGACAAATCATTTTCTGTTATCTCACTGATGAGTAATTCTAAGGTTGTACATTACAGTATTCTGTCGTATTCGGCCGGCGTCGCTAGGGCGTCTGTCATTTTAGCACGTCAGTCGGCGCTCCAATTGATGCCTAATCGCAGGGTTTATTGTATGCACTAGTTCTACAGAACACCATTACATCGTATTCGGACAGCGCCGCTACGGCGTCTGTGATTTTTCTTGTAGCGTTAGGTGACCACGAGAATGTTATATTGTAATCAAACACAAAAAAACGCGATCATACAACAAGAACTGCGAACAGATAATATTTTATTTACGCACCTAAAACACCCAGAAAACGCCAGCTTCTGGGACAGCAAAGGGACCTTCCGTTGGCTTCAGAAGCGCGCGCTGGTTTTCAACCCAGGTTGAAAACCATGTTGCTGAGGCGACAATAAGGAATAATTATTCAAGTGATTCATCATTTTTGTAAAACAAGATATGTTCCATAACTTTACAGCTAATGCAAGCGTGATCGGCCGGTAGTTTGACGTGATGTTGTGCGGGCCAGACCTTGTGCTCAGTCACAACGTTAGAAATTTTTCAATAATCTGGCAAAACACTCTCGCTCAGTGACTTTGAAAAAATAACAAATATTTTGATACCGAATGTGCACATATAGAAAGTAAAGCAGATTGTAAGCCGTCCAGGCCAGTGGACTTTGAGACACATAATTTTTCTAACAATTTCTGGATGTCCCGAAGATCAAAAACAATTTCTACCATTTGCTCTCCACTTGCACAGGATTCTGCCAAAATGAAACTGACGTTTGAGCGGCCAGCGAACACAGGGCTAGAGTATTGGTCAGGATGTGTAGCCTATTCAATGTCACCTTGAAGCAAGTTTTCGTGAAGTTCGAGTGGAGGAATAAACACTGCATCCTTGCGGTTCAATTTAACTAGCTGTCATAGTTTTTTAAGACTTCTTTGAATCCTTATTTCAAGAAAACCGAAGAAATTGTTTTCATCTATGTTTACCACACTTTTCATCTGCTTGGTTATTAGCTCAAGTCTTTTGCTTAAGCGCGATGATGGTGTTTTTCTGTAAGCAGTGTAAACGGTTGCCCGTTTTCTGGCTAGGCTCCGCACTTCCCTAGTGCCCCATGGCTTGGATCTGCTGCGCCGGGGTGTCATTAGCCATGACGGCACATATCGATCTCGTAAATCGAGAAGTTTTTGTTTAAATATGTCCCATAGTTCATGCGCATTTTTTGTTTCCGCTAAAGTTTCAAAAACATCTCAATATGCATCCAAGGATCTTTGAATATTACTTTGACGGGCTTTTTGATAGCTATAGATTCGTCGTCTAGCGCAACTTGCAACCTTTGCATACTGTAAATTGAACTCGCAGTAAACAACAGCGTGATCGCTGATGCCGGGAAGCACAAGAGTAGACTTTACAGCCACGGGGGCGTTCCCAAGCATAAGATTTAATATATTGTTTCCCCGTGTTGGCTGCAAGACCATCTGTGTTAAACCATAAGTTCCGCATAGTTCAATAATTGCTCTGGTTAACTTAGTCTGTCCGCTCGATGTGGGCCCCTGCTGAGCCCAATTGACTTCAGGAAGGTTAAAGTCACCACCTATTATTACGTATTCCGTTTTGACAGTTTCAACCACATCGATTAGTTCATGCAAAACATTAGCTGTACTGCTTGGTGGACAATAAAACAAGCACAGAGAGACAGTTTTACCGTTTAAAGTCTAATCAGAGGCCAGATAGCCTCACTGTGGCTAACATTCATTTGCATTGTCCTAGAGTTAATCACTTCATTTATTAGTATAAAGACTCTACCTCCATGACAGTTACGATCCCTCCGATAAGAGATATATTTTCTAGGAAAAATTTACGTATCACTAATGGTTTCGTCCAGCCAGGATTCCGTTCCTAGCACCACAGCACCACAGACGGGTGAGTCATGTCTAGAAGAGCAGCAAACTTGTCAGTTTCATTCCTAATGCTCCGGCAGCTCACAATCAACACTGAAAGCAGAGACCTATTTGTCGGCTGAAGCCAGTCAGCACGCCTTACTTGGCCTAGCAATCTGTCAAAGATATACTTGATGCCATTTAAGTACAGGGAATCGAATTCGCAGGAGTGCAAAGGTTTGTCATTTTGTAAGAGATCCGAGAAAGAAACAACATTGGGATAGTATCATTTTGAAGATGAGTTTTTGAAACCGCTCAAAACATGGCTCTGCAAAATGGTCACTGCAAAATCTGCTTTCTGAAGATGGCGCTTTTATTTAAAAAAAAATAGAGAAAAGCCCTAGCTACGGCATCAGGTGATTGTTCATAGCGGTGGCTTCCGGGACACCAACGGCGGCTTCCAGTGGCTTCAACCGCACGTGTTCGATGCACGATCCAGCTCTCCCTAGTAGAGATCAGTGGTTTCCAGCCCACCTCCTCTTATCATGGTTTCGCGCCGCTTAGAAATACTGGTTTTCTAAACTCGTCAGGAGCCGATTAACAAATGATGGTGGCATAATGCTTTTCTTCAAACACACAAGTGCCAGCGTCTAACTAAAATTGTTATGGGGCTTGGTGAAGGGCCCTTAAGAAAAAACTATGGTACTGCAAAGCAGAGAAACGGAACTACAAATAGATGCAACTACACTGTATCTAATTACTTGAAGCAAAAATTTCTGTATTTTTTCACCTCGATGCAGACCTTCATTATTATGATACTATAACATGAAATGTGCGGCAGGATGTGATTTGGGACGTTACACCCGAACAATTATTATAATTCAAGATGTGATTTATAAAGCAAGTGGAGGTCCTCGGTGGTTGTAACGCTACATCTACCCCTTAATTGAGATGCGTGAATAAGCATCGTTTACATCATGCATTGCGATAATCAACTGTAAAGAATGTTCGTTTCGAATATGGAGAACGAACTTAATCTTCACGCTTGACGAAAAGCGTATAATTTTTAAAATATTTGCTATGTGGATGCATTCTGTTGGCGGAACAAAAAAAAAGAGACAGACTATTATTACGATCAGGTTATATCAAACAACGACTGACTTTGGCACGAGTGACCCGGGCGACTGCAGTCGACATCGTGGACTGGCAGCAGGACGGCGACCAAAGGCGGAGACTACAGCAGTCGTTTGCAGACGACATCGAGGACCGAAGCGAGCGAAAGCAGCTCCAGACGAACGCTTGTTGAAAGCACATCGCTGCATCGTCCGAGCACTTACTGTGTACCGAGAAGCGGCCTCTGAAGAAGCAGCAAACGGTCTGCGGTCGACCTTCCTTGTACGCAGCGAACGAACGTCCCCTGTGACGAATCCTCGGCGCGGACTCCAGTCGTCCGCCTAAAGAAAAACAGAAAGAAAAGATGCGTGAGGGCCTCGTTTTTATATATAGCGTCGCGCCGAGAAGGGAACCGTGGTTATAAGAGGCTCGTCTCCTGGACGGGGTTCCCTTTGCGACGGCTTAGGGGCTTGTGGAGCGGGCGAGACTGGCAAGGTACGGCTCATCGCTTCCGATAATTTTTTTTTTATATTCGATGAATAGGCGAATAATTGCCTTCCGCGTGGGTTTATCCTAAAGCAAACTCGGGGCCGGCATTGGATAATGCAAGCACTCCCGAAGCCTGGGGCTTTACCCAGCAGCCTATGGTTGTTTTAGGGAGGGTATGAAAATTAGTTGCGAGATATATAATTTCTTCGGAACTCTGATAAGCACCCGCGTATGGTAATCCATGACTCTACCGTTCCTGGTTCTTGCGCGTAGGACACACTCATCTCCATTACCACCGAGCAGCAACAAGAATGGCTGACAAGAAGGACACGCAAGTGATCTCCTTCCTGAAGGACTTCATCGCTGGAGGCGTGGCGGCGGCTATCTCTAAGACAAGCGTGGCGCCCATCGAACGAGTCAAGCTGTTGCTTCAGGTGCAGCACGTCTCGAAACAGCTCACCCCGGACAAACAGTACAAAGGTCAGTAGTGCTCACCTAGCCATTCGACATCATCTCTGTGACCTTGAGGCTCCATGGCAGCGCAATTTCTTTCGGTGTTTCATTCTTATGTCTTACCATCGTACAGGGATTCTATTCAAGTGAGCTACTCGCCTACGAACTGATAGCGTTTTGCGCGCAAAGGAACATCACTCTCATATTCATGCACTTTGGCTCTATTCCGATCAACACTTTTGCTTAGACGAACAAAAAGCCGTTGTAGTGGCCTGAGCGGCAGTGGAGGTAATAGAAAGATGCATAACAGTGAAATAATGCAGGCAATGCTTTACATATGAGTGAGGTTCCTGGTAACTGTGTATAGCGAGACAATAGCAGGGCGTCGAAGTCGAAGCTTTCGTTCAATTGGATTGGGCGGAAGATGGTCAAGCAGGTTGTCTTTTAGGCACGAAGCATTTCTTAGCGAACTTTGGCGTCTTTGAGCTTATCTATCTATCTATCTATCTATCTATCTATCTATCTATCTATCTATCTATCTATCTATCTATCTATCTATCTATCTATCTATCTATCTATCTATCTATCTATCTATCTATCTATCTATCTATCTATCTATCTATCTATCTATCTATCTATCTATCTATCTATCTATCTATCTATCTATCTATCTATCTATCTATCTATCTATCTATCTATCTATCTATCTATCTATCTATCTATCTATCTATCTATCTATCTATCTATCTATCTATCTATCTATCTATCTATCTATCTATCTATCTATCTATCTATCTATCTATCTATCTATCCAGCCGCCTGCAACATTTAGCTGTCCCGGCCGTTTCGATTATGGTATCGATACCGAATTGGTATGGCATAACATGACTGTATGACGAGCATAAGTGACTAGTCAACACATGAAAATCAGGACATATATCATAAATCATGACTGTCGTGATTTACGTTTCATGGTCTTGCTGCTATTGCGGCGGTTTCGTTCACATGACATATTGCAAAACGTGTATGGTATGCATGGCGAACATAAGTGACAGACGATAACGTGCAAATTATGACATGCAATTCATGCAAGTCATAACTACACGCTATACTCATGGTGCGCTCGCGGTCGTTTCGCTAGCTTCACATATACCAAGTTTGGTATTACGTCATGTTAATGGACGATGAAGGAAAATGACACATCCAAACACATTATATGTTGCAAATTCGCATATTGCATGACACATGACATATTTTGTTCACATGACATATTGCAGAATCGGTACGGTATGACACGACTGCATGGTGAACATAAGTGACAGACCCTAACGTGAAAATCATGCCATACATGGCATGTAAATCATAACTAACACCACGTGCGTAGTGCGCTCGTGGCTGTTTCTCTAGCTTCACATATGCCAAATTTGGCATTACGTGACGTTAATGGACGACGACGTAAAATTACACGTCCAGTCATGATATGGAAGCCATGTGCGGCATAATTTGCGTCCGCCTCGTAACGTTGTGCTGATTTCAATGTGACATATATCAACCTTCCTCATTAGTGCTTCGCATATCATTGATTCCCACTGTACACGGAATCCGTTATTTTTTCCCTACCACACTCCACAAACGTTCGGCTGTTATATGACGGAAGATGCTTCTCTTTATTTACTCTTTTTTACGCCTCTCATAGCCACAAGTTGATTACGCTAACACCATACCGCGGTAAATGTAAAGCATAGACTACACATCCTTTGCCTGTAATAAAGCATATATCTTCTCAGAGACAACAATGATGCTCTTGAGTCACTAGTTCCCGTTTCTGGTTCCTTTTGTTTAACTTCTCTAGGAACAAAAAGAAAAAGCCAGGCCTGCACGGAAGGTGCAACACAGTCACAGCGAAAGCTAGAAGAGCGGCCTTTCAAAGCCTTTTCTAAACACTCATTGGGCAACTGATGCAAGCACACTTGCTTGACGCCCACTACAGCACTGATAATAAACATTTTAGGGTAGTAGGCTGGCAATCGCTATGCTATTTTTCGTCATTCTTCTGAGAAGCGTGGTATCCGCTAAACTCCCAATAGAATCTTGTGCCGATCGCTCATGCAGTGACTGACAATAAGGAATTATGCCTGAAGTGGATATGCGCCACAGTTCATAACTGAACAAAAACAAGCTTTTGTAATGGGTTCGAGCACTGGACGACCCAACAGTTACGCTATTCGCATTGTGTGACGACTGATTGTTCTTTCTATGTTTTAAAACAATTTATAAGTCGTATTAACGCGATTGCTTTCCCGACATCAAGCCTGCCTATAAGGCAAGTTTGACAACAAGTCCCAAGCACCTGCGTAGATCAGCGGTAGAGTACTGGGCTGGCACCCAGTGAACTTGGGTTCGAGCCTCAGTGTGTCATTGGGACTAGGTTTGCTCTCTAACTTCGCGCGATGGGATTATGGACACCGGCAGCGGCGGACAACTACGGCGCAGCTTTCGCTCTAAAAAGAACACGCAGAAAAAAAACTCCATGCCTCTGACCACACGTGCGTGGTGTAGCAAAGTGAACGCTGCTTATTCCGACGTCCAGAATATAGTCACCAGCCAATCTATGCCCATACATGTTTAGTCCAAATCCTTTTTTCTGTATGCGTTTTTTCGCCTTGCGTTCAGTAACATAGACTATTCCGTTTTTTTTCGCAAATTTTCGGTTATCAATCTTGCCGACTTGAATTATTGTAAAGTGTCATTTTTTTAATGTAAAACCGATGTAGCCTCTCCAGCCATGCCTTCAATGAGGCAGATAACTGTAACTGCAGAATAAATGAATGATTGAATGAATGAATGAATGAATGAATGAGCGAATGAATGAATGAATTTCACAGCCAGTGCTAATGGTGGTCACGTGGAGCTTGACATGTTGCAGCACTCCCGCGATTCAGGCACGGATGTGGAACTGTGTCGTCACGTCAGCTCTATAATGTTCTCGCTGAAACATCATGAAGTCAGCTCCACTTATTTCAATCAGCAAGAGACGTAACTAGCTTCATCTGCCAAGCACTTGGGCGTGGTTTGACGACGTCTCGAAGCACAAGTGTAATAGAAAAGAAATAGTACATGAAATCAACCAAATACATCAAAAGGTCCCAATCAAGAAGTGCGAGAGCGTAAATGATGATTCAGGGGTGGCACGAAGAAAATTATTTCAAAGAAAAAAAATGACAGCATATCCACGGAGTGAATGATGGAGAGTGGGGCGAAGCATCCGTCCGTCCATTCGTTTTTGTTTCTGTCTGTTCATGCGTCCGTCTGTGTGACCGTTCATGTGTCCATCCGCCCGTCCATGCATGCGTCTGTTCGTGCGTCCGAACGTTCATCTGTGTGTCGATCCCTGCGTTCGTCCATGCATCTGCCCCTGCGTCCGTCCACGCGTCCATCCGTCCGTGCAGCCATCCGTGCGTCCATCCATGCATGTGTCTGTGTGTCCGTTCGTCCATCTATTCAACACTCCAAGCACCGTCATCTCACATCTTTTCATCATATATTCTCCATATAGAAGCACCGCCATCCAGTGGACAATCCAATGACTAAACGAGAGGTGGCACACGCACACTTTCTTACGGCTTGCGCTTCGTGTCTACTTCCCACCTCTAACCACCTCGAGTTCACGGTATATACTAGTTCACTGTATTCATGGCACTGCGGCCGAACGCTCGCTAAAGCTTTCTAAAACAAAGGAGGTTACACCCAGTGAGTATAACGTAGCAACCTTTTCTTGTGAGATAGTGCTCAATGTACATGCCAAAGGCTGCTAATGAAGAATGAGAGACAGGAGAGTTCGGCTTTTACTTTCTTACGGCTTTGCGCTTCGTATCTACTTCCCACCTTTAACCACCTCGAGTTCATGACTGCTAATGGGAAATGAGAGACAGGAGAATTCGGCTTTTAGTTAACGCACATGCTGCGAATTTTTTATTGTTCAACAACACACAGGAGAAATCTCCCACCGGCACCACCTTGCAGGTCAAAAGAAAATGGTACTGCCATGAAAAATATTGAAGACCGGCTAGCTAAACTTGAGTCTTCTCTGTCTAAACTGGATGACTCCAACAAACAGCAACCCGACTGAACGAAGTAGTCGAAGTGTTATCTAGAAAGGTTGATGACTTTGAATATCGCCAGCGCCGCAATAATCTTGTTATTTTCGGCCTGCATGAGCAAGACAGGGAAACACAGGAAGACCTGACGAAAGTGGTACAGGACAAAATTTTTTCTGTAATCGGTTTATCGCCTAAAAGTGTGGAGCGAATGCACCACATTGGAAAAAGACAGTGAAAAGCGCGATTGGTTATTCTCCGACTATACGACTTCAAGGAAAAGCAGGAAATTATGCGTAACTGTTACAAGCTAAAGGGTTTGCACGTCTCAATCAAACGCGTGCTACACAGCAGAAAGTAGCCCCGCCGCGGTGGTCTAGTGGCTAAGGTACTCGGCTGCTGACCTGCAGGGCGCGGGTTCGAATCCCGGCTGCGGCGGCTGCATTTCCGATGGAGGCGGAAATGTTGTAGGCCCGTGTGCTCAGATTTGGGTGCACGTTAAAGAACCCCAGGTGGTCTAAATTTCCGGAGTCCTCCACTACGGCGTCTCTCATAATCATATAGTGGTTTTGGGACGTTAAACCCTACATATCAATCAACAGCAGAAAGTATCTTTGGGAAAGCGCTAAAGACGAGAAGTTGAGTGGAAAGCGGGTGCGCCTAGCTTACGATAAGCTCTACGTAGACGGCAAGGCGTATTACTGGGACGATTCCACTGATTCACGTAAAGAGTGCCGAAACGCTCGCCATTACGAGAAAGGCACCAGTTGACGGCAGTAAAAATTTTTCCTGACAAGTTAACTGTTATGAATGTTAATGCACGCAGTATATGTAACAAGTCATCACTATTTGAGGCTGCGCTGTTTGAACATGAACCGGATGTTGTAATCATGACAGAAACCTGATTAACTGAATTAGTTTAAACTACAG